AGAAGGCAATTCCTGACGGGTGAAATCCAAATTTTTTTACTACCAGTTCTGTGGGCATGGCTTGGTGGGCGTGACAGGGGATACTGCAAAATCCCCATTTACACCCCACTACAAGGGAAGGATACTGCAAAATCCCCATTCCCACCCCACTCTGGAGCCAGCCAGAGGTGGTATTTGCCGGTTCTCCTAACTGCTCAAAATTTCTGCTACCAGTTCTCCAGAACCTGTCAGAACCTGCTGGATTTCACCCGATATAAGAGCAATTTAACAGTTAAACCAGCCACCTATAGATATGGAGCACTTCCAGTGGTGGGCTGCTGCTGGTTGTAATAACTGGTTCACCCAACACCAAAAATGTGAGAGTGCACCTTCCATGCGTGAGCGTGGCTTCAAAAACACGGTGGTATAGGACAGAATAGTGCCAGGATGGGTGGGTCACAACTACCGGTTTTCCCAAACCGGTCTGAACCGGCAGCAGCCCATCTCTGAGCACTTCTTTCACTGGGTGAGTCTAACCAGAAGTGGATTCTTATGTTCAGCGGAAAGTGGGGCTCAGTCTAAATGCCTCCTTCCAGATTTTTGAAACTTTCTAAAACAAAACCAAACTTGGCAACCTAAAAATTAGAACATTTATGCTATTGGAAGACAGAATGCTTGGGAATATATTTGCTTACCCAGAGTCAATTAAATGTTCATCTGTGGGGAAAAAAATTACCCCTTTTTTCAATGTGTGTTTTATTCATCCTTATGGTAGCCATCCAATCACCTTGAGAATATTAGTTTTTGAGACAGACAACTGGGTATAATGCCAACCACTATGGAATGGAAAGATTTAAGGATCTTTAGTGAGTTCTTAGTAAGAACTTTCAAAGCAATGCCCATTTGTGGTTTAGACAGAACATTAACTGATTTTTGTGGAAAAACATGTTCCAACTATTATTTACACCACTTGTTTTTCCTGCCTGATATAAATGAGTTGGAATTACCTAAGAGCAAAATTAAAACATGACCAGATGTTCTCTAGGGAGTCCACCCAAAGTAGAAATAAACACAGTATTTTTTGATAGAAAGATTTTGGTTTTTTTTTTTTTACTGAAATGGGGAAGAGTTTGAATTCAGGAAAGGAATAAGCAGTGTATAAATCCTTATAATAAACACCAACCTTTAAAAGTAGTAGCAAAAATCAGCCCTTTAAAAAGGTAGCATTCGTTTTAACGTTCACTTTCTTTACATAGATAGATTCTACTTAAAATCCAAGTAAAATCAATGACTTTGAATAGCGGTGATGAACAAATGTGTTGGGCACCATTGAGTGGCTACTTTCCTCCCTGCAATAACTTTCCACTCAGATAGTCATTGTGAAGGAAATAGGAATGCTTATTATCTAGAAACACAATGATTCCTTGGACATTTCCAAGCTGCATTCTTTGAATTAGGAAAGCACCTCTCTCCAATTGCCAAGCAACTAGATCACATAAGTTGTAGCTGCGATCTTCTGGGTGGACCATAGCACTTGCAGCTTATTTACCTTTATAGTTAAATGTAAATTGTAACCAAATCATTCTGGTTTTACAATAAAAAACCAGGCAGACTTTTCCCCATCTCTCTCTCTCTCCCCCCTCCCTACAGTAGTGGCCAAAATTGTGGAAACCTTTTGAGAAAAGTGTTTGATGGTTAATAACACCTTTTTTTGGGGGGGGGGAGTTTCAAGATAATCATATTCCACTGCTGGAATGGCCTGGGAATAGCCTAGACCAGTGATGGCTAACCTTTTTGCTGTCACGTGCCAAAAGTGGGGATCATGCGAGGTGGTCGCGCATGTGTGTTACCATACCCATAATTCAATGCGCCCCACCCCCCGCACATGGGTGCGTGACCCCCCCCCGAGCTACCCCCACTTTTGGCACGCAATGGCACGGTGGGCCCAGTAGGTCCGTTTTCCGCCCTCCCCAGGCTCCAGAGGCTTTCTTAGAGCCTGGGGAGGGCAAAAACAGCCTTCCGTCCCCCACCCGGGAGGCCCTCCGGAGGCCGGAAACAGCCCATTTCCCGACTACAGGTGGGCCTGGAAGGCCCGAAAATTAACTGGAACTGAGTAGGGCAACACTCCTGTGCCCACAGATATGGTTCTGCGTGCCACCTGTGCCATAGGTTCGCCATCACGGGCCTAGACCTTAACCCAATTGAAAATCTATGGAGCCGACTAAAGAAACGTGTTAGTCAGATGTGACCCAGCTAACCCAGTTAATAGAAACAATTATTCAATCTTGGTTTCACATTATAACAGCTGAAGAACTAAAAGACTTGGTTCATGCCATGAGAAGACAGTGTAAGGCCGTAATTCATGCTAAAGGTTGCCCAACTAAGTATTAACTGATGTGATAATTATTGCACATCTCGTTTTTTCTATGGTGATAATTTTTGTTTTTTTTACGTGTTTCACTTTTCTTCTTTATACTGTAACTGTTATTCTAATAGCAAATCCTTCATAAAAGTTATTGCATCACATTATTGATTAAATTATCTTTCCATTGATATATAATTTTATGGTACTACTCCAAAAAAAAAATGGTGATATTAGTTTTAGAAAATATACCTTCCCCAAAAGGTTTCCACAATTTTGGCCACTACTGTATCTATCTACCTATCTACCTACCTATCCTGTTTTCCCCAAAATAAGACATCCCCTAATAAGCCCAATCGGGCTTTTGAGCACATGGCAATAAGGCCAAGTGTTTATTTCAGGGTTCAAAAAAATATAAGACAAGGTCTTATTTTCGGGGAAACACGGTATCTATCTATCTATCTATCTATCTATCTATCTATCTATCTATCTATCATCTATCTCTTCCATTATATCTCCCAAGTTATTTGGGATTCATTCATTCATTCATTCTTATATTTTGTTATGGAGGCAATTTGGAGAAGTTTAATTAAATGTTGACAAAAGAAATTATGGTAGACACAAATGTCTCAATTAAGGATTCTGGAGTTTTGTAGATTTCTTTTCTCCATCTGCCGACATAAATTAAGAACCAAGTGCCACCAAGGACTTTGTGTGCATGGTTCAGGATTCTAGGAACTATAGTCCCAAAGCCTCCAGAAAGCTCCAGGTAGGAAAGGCACTCAAGGATGAGCAGTACAAGTTAGATGTCTTTCTATTGTTTTGTTGCTCCTCCTCCTACAGCTACAGCCCTATTTTAAGTATATTCCCTATTTTCTGTCACTTTCTTTTTTGATTTTACAGGGAGCTTATGCAGCCACATAAGATGGTTCAGACTACAATAAGTTGGTTCAGACTACAACGAGGACTCTTGTTGGGAAGAGAAACAATGTTACTTAAACCAAAATAAAGTCAATGTACACTTGAAATGTAATCATTTACAGATTGTTTGACCATTCCATTTCCCCCCTTCCTAATATATGTTCAGTCAGATCCTATTAGTTATTTGTCCTATTAGTTATTTATGGTGCTGTTACATTAGCTACAGTGTGAGTACAAAGTAGTAGTTTGGCTGCCAAAGAGTTCTAGTCCTTTCCATTCAGAGTGCACGGGGGGGGGGGGGGGGGGGTTGGCTAGTTCTACATTCAGAAAGGTTCAACAGCATTCAGCAGTAACATCCAGGACTTCTCTCTCCCCAGTCACCTCACGCTCAGGTGTCATATTGGGGAAGGTCTGGCACCGGCTGGATTCACTCTACTGCTGTTATTTTTCTCACTAAGTGGGTACCTATTTATCTACTCACATACAACCTGCTTTGGAACTGCTAGGTTGGTAGAAGCTGAGGCAAATGACGGGAACTCACTCAGTCACATGATGCTAGGGCTCAAACTGTTGGGAGTACAGACCTTTTCTAAAAAAGGAACTGCTCTCTCAGCTGTGTTCAATACAGTTGCCTACACCAGACTGATTCTTATAACTCTTATAACTGACAAAGCTGATTCATTGTCCCACATCTTACCTGCTGGATCTTAGAAATTATTAGCTTAATAACTAACCATCCAAGTTCTAACCGTTATTTATATTTTATTTTGTATGTGTACATTTCTGTGACCCTGTAAAAACAATAATCTGACTTGAACATGTAAAACAAAACAAAAAAGAGGAGTGCCAAAAAAAAAAAAAAGATGGAAATTTGATTAAGGCTTACACTTGTCCTGGAGGCATAGGGAAATTCAACCTCCATTTTTCTATTATAAAAAATCCTTTGAATAAAAACTCAGCTGACACTTGTCTCTGGGCCAGAAATAAATGAGTTCATTTCCCTGCCTTTGGAATAGCTAAGAGGCCACAAAAAGATTTGTCCCTGACCCAGAACTCATGAAGGCTTGTTCTTCCCAACAAAAAAGCTACTGTGGACACCAAACTTTATCCATCAAACTTGTTCCTCTGACTACCTGTAGGGGCGCTTTCAGAATTTGGCTTTTAAATTTAAGCTGGTTCTTATTTTAAGATTTCCCAGCACTAGCGGGTATGCTCAGCAAGAATCTTTGGCCAGGAAAGTAGCATAGTGAGATGGGAAAGATCAGATGCTGATTGCCTTTCCATCACTGACTGTTGCTTTCTTCTAAAAATTTTCTGTCCAAAACACATTTTTTATTTTCATTCTTATATACCAGTGATGGTTAACCTTTTTGGCACTGAGTTCCAGAGTGCTGGAACCCGGAAGCAGCTAGCCGGTGCGCATGAAAGTGACAGCCAGCTGCTCTTTCGGGTTCCGTCACATGCATGCGCGCTGGCCATCTACTCTTTTCCATGTTTCTCTCTTAATGAAGACCAGCTGGCTGGCACGCATGTGGCGATGGCGCGCGTGCCCACAGAGAGGGCTCTGAGTGCCACCTGTGGCTCGCCTGCCATAGGTTCACCATCACGGGTTCGCCATACAATCAGGTCTTGAAGTTTCAATATTTAGGTCCTTCCCCCCAATTATGTTTCCCTGTCTAAGTTCAAGAAAATACACACACATATACACAGAGACACATATCCCATTCCCCAAGTTGAATATTAGTGGACAGACTAAAATTTTTTAATGCAAAGTAATTTTCGCTGAGCAGGTTGCCATAATGCATGAGGTGTCATGGAGCAGATTTTGAACTATTGTACGGTAATGCTTTGTTTCTCTTTGTGTTTAGAGATTCAGTGAAAACAGTCCTGGACATAATTTTATCTCTTTCTCTGTGGGAACATATAGAAGACAGAAAGCAAAATGCCTTTGTTGAAGGGCGGTGGAGACAATGTGGCAGTCTCATCAAGGACACAAGCTCCACCCCACCGAGAACAGGGGTTAGCTTCCTGGGTAGCATCAATAGACTGTTCAAACCAAGCCATTGTAGTAAGATTCCTTGACTGGTTGAAAAACTGTTCAGAGTGCTTCCCAATCCTTTCCTAGCTGACACTTCAAAAGCTGCGATACATGATTATGCTACGTCACTTGTAGCTCTTTTCAACTTTCAGCTATGCAGTGTTGAGATCCAAAGGGAGGAGAGACAGAGAACCTATTCCAGTTTAGGAACCTGGATGCCCTCTTTCCATTACCCTGTTGTTGTAGATTATGAGAGACTTGCGGGCAGGTTGGCACTACGGTTTAAATAACTTTAGTTCCCTAGTTTTTGCTCCAACCCACTGAGCAACCAAAGCAAGTAGAAGCAAACCGCCAGAAAGCCAGTGCCCAGGAGATCTCCCAGGGCAGTGAGGTAGGGGATGGAATAATTGTCAGGATCCAGACCCTTTCTCCATGTTAGTCGCACAATGATGTCAGCCATGTAGAGCAGAATTCCCACCTGCAAGTGAGAAACAAAACAAGGGCAGCAGTCACCAGCACGCAACGTGGCACCTTTAAAGCGCTCCATAGCATAGGACCCAGGTACCTTCGAGACCGTCTTCTGCCACCAATAGCCTCCCACCGACCAATTCGCTCCCACAGAGAGGGTCTCCTCAGGGTGCCATCGGCCAAGTTATGTTGGCTGGCGACACCCAGGGGGAGGGCCTTCTCTGTGGGAGCCCCAGCCCTGTGGAACGAACTGCCCCCGGAAATACGTAAGATCTCCGACCTCCGGGTGTTTCGCTGCGCACTGAAGACCCTGTTGTTCCGCCAGGCCGGGCTATCAACATAATAGTTTTAAATTGGGGTATTTAAATTTCTGGGGTTTTAAATCGAGCCAAATCTATTTAATTATTTTAAATTTTAATCACTGTTTTGTCTTGTGTTTTTAAATAGGCTGTACACCGCCCTGAGTCCTTCGGGAGAAGGGCGGTATAGAAATAAAATTATTATTATTAAATTATTATTTATATGATAATACTGTCATCTATTCTATCAGCTGTGATAGCTGAAAGTGCATATGTTCTGCAGCTGAGACAAAATCGCCTCCTTTTCATTTTCTCCTCATTTACAAGGAATAGAGTATGTATCTATGTAACTTGGTCAGTTGGGATACTGTAATGCAGAAGTTATCCCCCCAACTCCCAGGCCATGGCCCATTAATGGACCCTGAGCCCTTCAGAACTGGGCTGCGAAAGTGGTAGGTGAGCGTGCATGCCTACTGCTCGCACAAACGGAGCTGTGTGTGCGTGTGCTTGCCCACCACTTGCACGAACCATGGTCTCTCCCCGGCCGGTCTGCAAAGCCAGGAAGGTTCTGCTGTAATAGTATGTGGAAAGCTGTTGAGAAACTGGGGCGAAGAAATGCTGCTTAGGGAATGGTCAGGTAAGAGACAGCATAGTCTGCAGCTGGATAGTGTGTGCAAGAGGCTCACAAAGGACACTCCCTAGTTTCTTGGTCTCTAAAAGAAATAGAAGAATTCCTCTTTAGGCTTGCAACATCATGTTAATGTAGCTTTACAGTAAAGCAGAAGTAGCTTATCTGGTTATGTTTCCTGTCTAATCTATTTGGTAAAGCTGGGGGTGAAATGTAGACAAAGTGTTTCACATGGAAAAGAGAGACTTTGGGGTGATGTTAATGAGTAAAAATAAGTTATCCAAAGTCAGATCCCAAATTCTAAAAGTCAGTTTCTGGTTACCTGCAAAAGAGCAGCTGTCAGATAAAATGCCACAAAAGTTAAAGTGATTGCTGTGTGGCCCCCCTCAAAGAGATGTATAGCATAGAGGAACACCAGGTGTCCTGGGATCACTAGCATGATCAGGACTCGAGCTGATTTAGAATTGATACCTGCAGGAAAGAATAAAGATTATAATTATGATCACACAGTAAATAAGAGCTGAGTTCTTTGAAAAACAAAGTAGGTACTAGTACCCAATATATTTAATTGGAGTCAAAAAGTTCTAAAATCATCGTCACCATCATGTGCATTTATTATATAAATATAACAAACAGTGCTACAAGTCAGCCATAATAATAACATGATTAATAACAAACCAACAAACAGAACCTGTCATTGAATGGAGTGGAATGAGAAACTGTGAAGGGGAAAAATCTATCTGAAAAGGGAACAAATGGAGAAAGCAGAATCAAGAGAGAATAGCAGGCTACAGTAAGAGGATGGGAGAAAGGGTGATGGTTAAAAGACGGGGAGAGAGAGAGAGAGAGAGAGAGGGAGATATTAGATAGATGGATGGATGGAGGGAGGGAGGGAGGGAGGGACGGACAGACAGACAGACAGACAGACAGACAGACAAATAGATATGTTAGGGCATGTGTTATGTGTTCTTATAATTCCCAGCCTCATAAGGAAGGGAGATTTACTTTCAAAAAATCCTAATCGTGATGCTACATATATCATCTTACATTCAACTCATTCTGTTTCAGTATCAAATTGAATATTCTTTAAGACAGAGAACTCTCTGTATGTGTTTTCAATTAACATTTGCTAATATGCCTTTTGTACAACCTTTTTAACATTAGATATATACTTTCCCCTCTTCTTTACATATTGTATAAATATGTAAATATATATCTATAGAAACATATTCATACACACATTATAATGTACAGTTTTTGATTGCAGGTCCAAGTGAAGATTATTGCAAAATTCAAGTTTGATAATATATCTTTTGGATATATTTAGCAAGTGACCATTACATAATACTGAACAAATCTAGAAATGACAGATAGATTTTATACATTTTAAAACCCCTTAAATCTGACTACGGTTGTAGCACTAGTCAAAGAGATGATTAAGTTTTCTTCCTTTTTTTCTAAAAAAAATATTTTCCCTAACTGGCAACATATTACATATTATCATATAGATCTCTCATTGTCACTTTTCCACTAGTTTTACTGCTATTCTTATTCCCCATCTAAACAATGTTGTGGGGAAGTCAATCTGCAAATTCCATTCCAATGGTAAGGGGACTGATACAGGTAAGAATTAGATTTGATTGGATTGGGTTGGTTTTCATAGATGTGTTTCTCAAACTGAAGTGAGGCTTCTGCATAGTGGAATAGACCTAAATTGGCATCCCAACAAAACCTTGTGAGGGGTTATGAAAGACGTCCCAAAAGTGTTCTCTTTTAAAGGCAACCGGACTTTCTTGTTTTTTCTTTGAAAATGTTTTACTTCTCATCCAAGAAGCGTCTTCAATTCTAACTGAATGGTGGGAATTCTTCTTGGCTGTGAAAAAAAATACTTTCAGAGAAAAAAAAACCCAAGAAAGTCCTTTTGCCTTTTGGAAAAAGCACCTTTGGGACAACCATGATCTATCTGAGTGATTGAGAATCTCTATAGATGATTATGCAAGTCACAGGAATATAGGCAAAGCGATTCATTGTGGTTTATATGGAGACCAACCTTTCTCATTGGCTTCTGGCTGTGAAAAACAAGTAGTTTCCTGTATCACTGAATGGAGGCTCAAGCATTTCATGTGGTTAATAGGTACAGATTCCCAGTACAGTACTAGGATAATTTTGGGGTCCAGGTATACAAATAGCAAGGGGCCAATGACCTCCTACCTGAAGCGAAGAAGGTGGTACATGGATTAGGCCAATGCTGCCTCATTTTCTGTGGCAGGACTCCAGGCATGCTCCAGAAATGGAGAAATGTGGAGATGCGACTGGCCTGGATGGCCACCAAATTGCCACCAACACCTGCAGAGGACAGAACACAAGTGTTAACCCTCTGTAAGAGAAACCCAAAAGCCTTGCCCAAAGCCATGGAAACATGGGCACAAGTCATGTGGGGGGTTCTACTACAAGGGCGGGCAACATTTGGATCTCTATAGCCCACATTTAACATTTTGTAGCCAAGGACTGGCCTTGTGGGGATTTGCTGATGATATAAATCTGACAGATAGAATTATCAATAAAATTACCAATAGAAGAAATACAATTTTCTTTTTTTTTCACCTCGGGTTTTTGCAGGATTCCTGGGCTGTTCTTGTTTTAGAAGCTTACCCTGTATTTTTTGGAGGCGATTCCTACCACACTATGGCAGGAAATGGAGCTACTAATTAACATTTCGTAACTAACAGTAGAAATAGTTCTGAGGCCACTCAGTTCACTCATTCCTGTTCTGGAAGGAAGCTCCTAGTGAAACCATTTAAATACTATCATACTGTTTATACTGTCTTTTTCTCTGATTGATTTTATGATAAGAATACACACACGTACATATAGAGAAAGTAGAAAGCGAGGTCATCTGAGTCCCACTTTAAAATTCAATAAATAAGGTAGAGGGATTGTACAATAAAAGCCTTACCTGGAAGTAACGTGCAACTTAGTTCACATGGAAAAGGAGATGCATTGATCTAGTGTTGGTGGCAGTCAATATTTGGCCTTAATCAATATATTTTCAATGTAAGACAAAATTGCGAATTCACCAGACTCAGAGGGTTTCCCCCCCCCTTTAGAAATGGGCAGGGCTTTTAAATTTTTTTATTTATTATCAAATTTATTGGCCTCTCATTTTACCCCAGGGTAACTCCTGGGGTAAAACAACTTTGCAAAGAATTTGGGGAGGAGATGCCACTTTTTTTTTTTTACTTCTGTTGACAAATATAAATGAGGTAAGTTTGAGATCTGTACCACTCAAAATACCGACACCAGGGGCCTGTCCTCTACCTTTCATTGTTTCCCAGAGAGAAACATCTCATCCCCACCCCAAATTCCATGTAGGCTTCTACTCTTCCTTCATTCAGTCATTAACATCCTGGCCTTCACAAACACTTAAACTTTGAAGCAAATATTGGCTCAGCGCTAATATTTTTACATCAGCATTCTGCAGCAATTGAGCTTGTGAAAAGTTTTCAAGAACAAGAACTAATTCTTGTGTGAACGAATATCCCTATTATCTGTCCATGCTTTCACTCCTTTATGTAGAAACAGAAGAAAAGGGTTTTCCCCACTTTTTTCTCAACTAGTAGAGCAGGTTTCATATCTCCTTTTTCCCCACACTATGTATACTGTATATAACAGACCCAATCCAAAATCATAATTCAAATGCAAAGGCACTGTTCACAACATGATTTACCCAAGGAAGTCCCTCCCCTCCCCAGCATGATCCTCAGCATTTTAGAGGATCCCAGGGTTTCCTTCCCATGGTGATGTGAGAAGCTGTCATATAACTTTGGCAATAATAACCCTCTCCTCTAGACCTATCTGGCACAGCCTGTTTGCTGCAGCTCTGGCACCTGCTTTTCATTCCATTTCTCAGAAATGAACACAGCCAAAAGGCTTTTGCATTTTTAATCCACTTCAAAAAATAAATTTAGGTCACCATAATCATTTTGTTCCTCTGAAGGCCCTGAGAAAATGGACTCCACCCCATGCCAGGCAAATTTAGAAGACAAATCTGTTATTGTATTTCCAAAGTAATTCAGGTTGGCAAATTGGAGAAGTCACATCTTTCATTCAATTGATGCCATGGAACCTTACATTTATACATTCATTTTTACGACTCAAAATGATTGTGCAATATCCACTGCGTATTGGTGGAACTTTCTTGACATAGATCCTGCTCTGAGTTTAGACTGATAAAGCTCCTTGTTTCATTCTTTTATTTTCTTCAAATTGTTAAACAATTTTGGCGATTGCAAAGCAGTTTAAACTGGTGTCTAAATCTCACATGCAATGTGGCTCAACTTATCCTTTACAAACGCCATGCCTCATTATGTGAATAAGTTGATTTCCTGGACCCCTACAAAAGTGTTATGAATACACATCGCATTTGATTGAATTTAATATTCCAGTAAAAATCAATGTATTTGTGGCATAGGTCAATGGTCTGTTCATAGAGCAGTGTTTCTTTATATTGGCAAGTCTAAGATGTATGGATATCACTCCTAGAATTCACCAGCCAGCATGCATGGTTTAGAGCAATGCAATTCTCCTGCCCAGTAATATTTTATCATCTGAGTTTTGAATTTAGAATTATTTGAATGAAATGGAGATGTTCTGCTGCAGAATTACAACCCTCACCTTTTAAGCAGATACATTAAATTATTCAACTGAGAAGAATTTTAATTACTGAGTGTCCTAATACATCCACAGAGTGAAAAAGGCTAAATAATATAATGTGCTTTTGTGAGAGAATCAGGGTTTATTTATCTTTCCTATCAAATCTTGGAACCCCAATCTTAAAACAATAAAGCAGAAATTGCATTTTCATTTCATTTCATTTGCAATTTTTTTTTAAAAAAAAAATCATCTTACCATTGATCACTGGAACGAAAACAGCAATGCCTTCAAAATTTGGTTTTGCTACAGTTTTGTCCAAAATTACTCCACCAAAGCTGTTTCAAAACAAACACATCCATCCATTAGTCTAATTTACCAATAGTTTAAATGCAAACTACTATCATCTATTCAAGCATATATGCAACTATATATCATTAGCATAAACTAATAACATATTCTCAAATAAAAATTCAAACCTTACTGAAGTCAGGAAGTTAAGAAAATTTTACTAATAGAACAAGTATTTTAATCTTGCCTTCAAGAAAGAGAGCACTAAAAGAAAAAGGATCCCCATATGAAAAGATTTAATGTCAGTATATTAAGTATATCTTTATTGAAGATGATGGATTATAATCTACCGTGCTGGCCCAATATGGATTAATAGACAAGACTTTTATTTTATTTTATATTTTATATTTATTTTATTTTCCAGTTTTAGGTTAAGAGTGAATGACCAAAGTTACCCAGCTGACTATTCATATGTTTTACTTATTTGGGGGGAAACATTGCCACTCAAAGCTTCAACATTATTTTCTAGAAGCTAAACCCATGTTATGAAGTTGATGCTTTTAAATAATATGTTAAATGATTAGACAAACTGTGGGAAATTAAAAGCTTGAACATTTTTACTACACCGATTTCAAGCTAGAAAGAACTGCAACCCTCAGTGATTCTCCTTTTATTTATTTCAAATACCGTAAAAAAACCCCACCTATTTTGGCTTCTTAAAAATTCAAATCCAGATGCTTATTAATAAAGATTTCACTAACATATTCCAGATACACAGAAAGAGACAATCCCCAACAAAAATCCAGAATTTAACAAAACTGATTATTATTATTATACTGATTTTTCCATGGTAAGCACATAGCAATGGAGCAAAGCTCTATCTCCAGTGATGATTACCTGCTGATGATCATTGCAATTATAATTGGCTGCCATCCACTCTTCAAGACTTCGGCAATGGGAGGACTCTGCCGAGCAATAGCAATCCACAAAGGAATCAAAACAATGAAAATAGTACAGACCACAGGGGACAGGTATGTTACATCTGCCGGGGAAAAAAAGAGTTTTACATCTGAATTTTCAATTCTGAGGGATTAAATCACATTTTCATTTGGGTAAAACGATTCAATGGTTTTCAACTAAAAGCACAGTTGCAGTGATAGACACCCAAGTCCTATTGCTCTCAGAAATATGTTTGATGGGTATCCTTTTTCAGTCACCTGCTATAATAAACCAACAGAACTAGCTAATGTGAGAGAGAACTAGAAAATACACTGGACATAAGAAGGAAAAATGTTAAACATCAGTAATAAGAATGACCATCCACCAAGAGAGAAGTGCCTGAAAAATATAATAATCCAAATATGTATGTTTTAAGTTTTCATCCAAGGAATCTGCAAGATGGACTGAAGTTCAATAATATAAAAGATACCAGAGATGTAATATACTGTAATTGTTTTGCTGCACCAGCTTAATAAACAATGACATCAAGCAAGGTCATTATGGCAATAATTCATCAATAGTAATTCAAAATCCACAGGTTTATGTGGGAGATATGGTAGTTCCTCAGGTCTACTTCACTGGGAGTTTAGCATGAATATGTTTATTGGATTAAAGTAAAGATGCTACGTATTTATGTAAATGTCATCCTAAAGTATACTCCTAAAATATATTAAGATGTCATTCATCTTTCAGTTGGAACAGGAAAAATTGAGTTTGTAAACAGTGAATTTAATTACCTAAATGTGGGAAATTAGAAAATCCTAATGAAATATGTTTTTGTAGGGTAATTTAGCAAGCTCTTTACTGTATCTAAGCAGAAAATTTGTCATGATAAAGGACCTAGCCTCTTAAGACTCTTAATTATGTGACATTTTGTCTTTACTTTGTAAAGAAAAAATATAATTACCACCCCACATAAACCTCATAAAATTGAGGTAGAGACATAGAGATCAAAATATTGACAACAAACAGATACTGCCACAATATTCCATGGAACTTAGATTTGGACTTCAACCTTAATCTTTCAAAGCATTGAATTTGTTCTTCATTCTTTCATAGACTTGGTTTTAGGATAACTGTCTTGTTGCTCCAACAACTTATTTTATGAATTAGGTTAGCAAATGGTCTCATACTCTCCTGTAGAATTCAGCAGAATTCAGGTTATCTTCAATGATAACAAACTGAAGCAGAAACTATCAACTCAGGTTATCTAGTCTGAGGCTCTTACTGTGAAATGCAGTTTCTGCCACACATAATATCCTCAGAGCCTGAAAATTTCCACTAGTGGTCCATCTATCCATAGCTATGTCTCTCTTTGCGTTTGAGCAAACCTGGGACTCCTTAGGGACCATTGCTGCTTTTCTGGGATTCCCATTTTTAGCCAATGCTTTTCTGATGGTGGATTCACGGATATTGATTTTAGGTAAAACCAGAGAAGCTTACAGATTTCCAGATGTGGTTTCCAGAGGTTTTATTTATTTATTTATTACTCCCCAGACAATATTATGCTCTGCTTTTGGGAATGATTGTGACAGGATGGCCATTCTTGCAAAGTAAATTTTGTCCCCAATTCTATTTCAAGCATATATATATATATATCACTGTTGACCTGTGGGACTCCAGAGTTTTTCAGTCTTTTCCAATGAGGATAGGGATTGATTTTTTTTAACACAGATCTTTTAACATTTCTATTCATCTGAGAATTATGAGCTCCTGAGAAAATCACTGTTAAAATCACCCATGATTCTTTAATTAAATATTCATAAAACTGATCTTGCCAGTTACACTTTAACTGAATTGACTGAACTAGAGGAGGAATTTTTTTTTCCACACAAGCACATTACATGTTGAAAGATTTTGCTTATCAAACAAGTAAAACATGCATCAAACATTGGTGTTATTTATTCACTTAGACTTTCTTTATATGTTAATAGGATTACTTCAGGGGTGAAGTACCTTCCTTACCGGTTCAGAAGTGCACGCGCTGCGCATCACATGCGCACGCAGATCCTCTGCGCATGCACAAAACCTTCTGTGCATGCGCAGAGGGTAAAAAACACATTATTTCCTTGTTAAAACCAGGAAGTAATGACACGCGGGTGGGTGGGCAGAGCCTCACACCGCCATCGCTACTGGTTCTCCAAACCACCTGCCACAATCGCCAAAGGATCACCTGATCTGGTCCGAACCGGGAGGATTTCACCCCTGGATTACATCAAGTTCTAATAATACTCAATGGGAAAGACACATAAAAATTCAGAAACCCTGAAAGACAGCAGATACTTGTTTGCACATCAAATACTGTGCTATTCCTATTTGCTATGGCTTAGTTAATTATGGATTAATTCATCATGCTATTTGAACTGGAGTCAAAAATAGTCCAAAGAAAAGACCTGAAAATCAGCTAACCATTTAAAATATTATATTTAATATAATACATATGCTTTTTTACAAACAGATCTGTATATGTACAAACTTTTAAACAAAACTAATTTTATTGAAGTAATATTACTAGTTTCATGGCATCCTAACATTTTGCTTGCAGCTGTTCTTCAAAGGCAGAGTGAGCTTCTTTGTAACTGACTTCTCAGCAGTTTACAGACAAAAAACTCCCCAAGAATTGGCTGGACTTTTATATTAATGACTGGCAAAGTTCATTTCATAAGAGTCCAAGAAAGCTGGTTCCTAAGTGGTTCCTTGTCTAAGTAAACTTCACTGCCAGTGAAATGTTAGAACATTAGACCACAACCATTCAATATCTCAAGTTCATCATGGCTTGATTGATGCTCATCATGAAAGTTTACACCAGTATAACATTGAGATAATTATCAGGAGGAAGGGAAAATTGTAAAAAAAAATTAAGATTTTTTCTTAGTAGGTTATCCCACTCAAATGGTAATAGAAGCCAGAGAAGTCAACTTCTATTTTAATAAAGATCTCATGATGGATTTATAGATATTGTCTATGGAATTAGACCTTCATGCCATGGTGTCTTCAGCTGTTTTGGATTTCAACTGCCATAAGAATTATGAGAGCTGAACAATAAGAGCTTTGGGGAAGAAAGCTCATGTGACACATCATTATGGCAGCTGAAATCCATTTCTTTTAGATTTTTTTCTGGTTACAGACTGAATTGTATCAGTTGAGATTTAAGTTAACCATGTTCCTTTTTTTTTCTTTGTGAGTTCATTCCATCTAGCTCAACTTCATTCTTTCCCCTATAAAAATCCCAGAGTAGTATTGAAATTACCCGACTATTCGGCCTAGAATAAAATGTATTTCAGTCTGTGTTTAAGACAACCTCTATTCTCACACAAGGACTGCCCTAAACTACTTCAAACAAAGATTCCCTCCATCACTTGCGATGGAACATTCCATAGTTGAATAGTCCTCATCTGCAAAAACCTACCCAATTTTCTTAAACTGCTCTAGTCTGCCGTCTCTTCTAGAGATAGTCAGTGAATCTGTGCTATAAATAGAATAATTATTACTATTTTAACCTGCTTCCCCATAAATGACCTGCAAGAAATTAATTTATCAGTTCCCTTTAGCTAGTATCCTTTTGATCATTTTCAAATGAACAAATAATATAGCATTGCAATGACCTTTAAAAGGGCAGGAGACCTTGTAAAGGAGAGAGAGAAGAATGCTGGGCTAGCAGAAAACAAACGTTGAGTCAGAAGCAGAAAGAAGGAAGCTTCAGAAACACCTTGAAATTAAAAGAGGAGTGTCAAACTTTTGATACCCTAATAATCTTTCTCATAAGATTCTCCATCTGCTCTTTGTAATTGGCCCAAAGCTAGGCTAGTAGCAACCCAATCTCCAGTCAATGTGGTAGAAGAATTCTTGAAATGTGCTTTTCATTTTCCTGCAAAAGATATTGTGAAAGCCTAAAGCCAGTAGGATGAAATCACAAAACTGCATTAATGACAAAGCAAGCAATTTCAAAGAAAAAAAATTCAGCCTCCTCTGGGGGGTGGGTATAATTCTGGGGAAGCAAGGTATAATTTTATGTAATACAATATTAGGTGACAGAAGCTTAGGAAACAGATGGAAATGCTATATCTCTACCTGGTTTATGAGGGGAGGGGAAGTGGCAAAATCCTTGAGAAACCCAAACAAACTCTCTGCTTTCGGTAGCAAGATTATTTACATATTTTTCAAATCTCTCTTCTATTATTAGAGACTATCTGGATCCTCGTGCTTCACTATGAAACTATGTGATTGGGCTTGATAAATTGACACTTACAGCTTGACTCCTTCCCTTTCCTATCTCCTTCTCTCCCTCAGGCTTTCTACCCCTTGTCTCCTTCAGGCTTGCCCCAGAGAACCCTGTCCTATGCGATCCCATTCTCTCCAGAGTTATTTTCAAGTTGGGAGGGCGAGTAGAAGTCTAACTAATTAGCATCAGAGCATGCTATAATAATATAGGAAATACTAATGCTCTGAAGGTCATTTCGAAAAATCCTTTCTTAGTGAGCATCTAGAAGCCAAGAGAAACATATGTGACAAATTTCAAGTTTGTAGGCTTTATGGTTCTGGAGATTTCGTGATTACGGCATGAGTGGTTTTCACTTATATAGTGTGTGTGTGTGTGTGTGTGTGTGTGTGTGTATAAAAATATACAGATATACAGATACAGAACACCATAACTCTTTGTACCTTTCAGCATTTTAATATTTTGCAGAATAGGTATTCCAAGAGCAGCTTGAAGTAGGGGACACGATTGTCTCCAAAATCAATTTTTAGAACAACTCACAAAATAAGCATGCCCGTGATATCCAGTGAGTTTTATGGAAGTGTTTATGGAGGTGTTTACTGGGTCACATCTCATTACACATCAGCTGAGTTCATGAATGTGGCACTAGTGGTGCAATACCATGTCCCTTCTTTTTACTAAGGTATGGCATGTTTACTGCCTTTGAAAGAAAGAACAGAATCCATCCAGAGTTAGACATAAGTAGCTATGTGACCTGCTCTCATATTTAAAATGATAACTTCCCCTGTTGTTGTTAATATTTTTCCAAAGAAAAAAAAAGATTGAAAATAAAGTACAAAGCCTACAATTCAGCTAGCCTTCAAAATACTTTCTAGGTCATTCAAAAACATTGTGCCTGTACTGAATCATAATATGAAACATTCATGCTTCATATAAAGAAAGAATGGGCTGTTTTATATATAAAGTGTCCTGCCACAAAAACTGAAGGGAAGAGGGAATTTGGACATGCTTTAAGTTTTTTCTCTGCCAGTTTAAATCTGCCAAAATATTATTTTTATATAGCTTATATTGGCCCAGAAATCTAATATTACTAAGGCAGGATTAGATAATTTTCAGGATATTTGGCATCCAAGAATGTTGATGCTTGTTATTTGTTACTTTTACCAGTCAAAGAACCTTAATTTTTCTGCATTGGTTATTTGCCTTTTAATGCCTATTAATAAATGAATAAAGGTCATTAAAACTCAGTAAAGGTGAGTTTTCCATAGACAGTTGTCGTCCATTACTGCATTCCCTACTCAGTCTTCCAAGGCATCTCCCATCGATAGAGAAAACTATTCCAAAATAATTTTTTGTAAGGTATTGAACTTGCTGCTGAGTTCCTAAGATTTTCTCATTAACATACCTATATATCTGAAGAGAACACTGCTAATTCCAGCCAGCAGACTAAGAGTAATCAAATCTCCAAGACTTGCAGCTATCGGAGTAGCAACATTATCCGGATTTATCCCAATCTTTCTTGCTCCAATGATCACACCAATCATCAACAATCCTAGGAAAGAGAGAAACCACAGACTTAGAAAGTTTCCAATAAATCTGCAGAACAACAAAAGTTCAGAACATCCTTGGGACTTCTTCTCTTCCAGAGCCCACAGAACGAGAAGCAGCAGGCTGATTTGCCAAGGCCTTATAAGTGTGACTAGAATGGAGACATAAGAGAATAATATCAGATTTATTAGCATCTGGGATGTAGTAAAGAGAATCAAATGGTACTGGAAAAAAACAGACCAAATCCAGCACCAAAAGACCATTATTACAATTTGAAATATCAGCAGGGACTATAAATAATTCTGTATAGTTTTTAAAATATTCACTCCCATTTTTCACATTGTAAGACTTAAAAGTCAAACAAAATGAGTATATTAATTATGGAGTTGGGGTGCAGAGAAGACAGTCTGTACAACTGCATAGCTATGTCAAGGAAAGAAGATCCTTTGCTGAATTATGTATTCTGTTTAATCTTATTTATCTCTTTACTTCCTTTATTGGTGCTCTTACTGCATTCAACAACCATCTTTCAACTTCATGCTTACTCAAAAATTCCATAACTGAAGCCTACTCCCTTTATCACAAACGTTCTCTAAATCGACAATATGCAATAAACATTATCTCATTCAAAATTTCTCAATGACCTCTTGAAGAGCAACAATCTTATCTGCACACGTCTCATCTGGCATGAAACTGTACTACACTCTCAAAAATTTGTTCTGTCACCTTTTTGTCTAGATATCACAGAAAGAAGTGGAGCGTCATCTTAAAACACTGCTGCTCCATTCATATTTTACATTTATACACCAGCATTTCTCATGTGAAACATATTGTTCCTTCCTCTTCTTAAAAAGTCATATGCTGCTCTCTTGTGGAAGACCTGCACACTTCTTGGAGCAAAATACTTTTATTATTAAGCCATATTTCAGGAATAAGGCCTCATAATCCTGACAGGATAGGAAAAAAGTCTTAAAGGTGAAAAAAAACCCCTATCAGTGACAAGAATTGCCTAAGACGAGGGCAGAGTTTTGTCTAAGCAGAAGAAGTAATCTCAGGAGAAACAACACAAGGTGGTAAATAAGATTTATGTAAAGAGTAAATAAACTGAATGTGAGGCTGTTTTCCTAAAAATCCCTGCATAAAGCCATTTAGTTGAAGCTGCATGCAAGTGCCCAAGGGATGCTTGCAAGGGAAACTATGAGAAAATGATTAATTTTGAATGATAGTAGTATTTTTAGGAAATATAGAAGAATGGAAAATAGTACCATGTTTCCCCGAAAATAAGACCCTGCCTTATATTTTTTGAACCCTGAAATAAGCGCTTGGCCTTATTGCCATGTGCTCAAAAGTCCGATTGAGCTCATTATCAGGGGATGTCTTATTTTGGGGGAAACAGGGTAGCTCCTACCTCTATGGAACTGATTCAGAATGTATACCTGTTATAGATGGTGTTGCTACCACTTCTGCACAAACAAAAATGTATCTCAAAAGTGAGTGTCCTCTCAGTTGAAAATTACTTTGCTTAAACAGCAGCACTTTCCTATGGAGCAATATCTCTCTAGGGAACAGCTCTAACCCTGTTAGTCTTTGGTAAGACATTTAGACCCTGTTGTTACCCTGATTATTTAGGCCTTATGATTAAGCAAGCTCTGCTGCTTAATGCTGCTTAATGGTTTTTCTGAGTGACATAAGGTAGGTTGAAAATTAACTCATACAAACAGGATGGGCTCTAGCTCATGCTTCATACACAGGACTCATTGGCAATTGAGCACAAAGACTATTCTCTGAAGCCCTGAAGAATTATAGCCTGAGAAAGCAGACCAGGAGTGTGCAGATTTTCTGAGCCACAGATAGCACTTGGCCTTTGAGTGGCTTATGGAGCCCACACTGTTTAATACTATAGAGAGGGATAGGACAAAACTAACATTTGTTTACACTTAATTAAGTAGCATTAGTACAGTTATTCTTCATTCAACTATTTAATTTCCCTGCTGTCCCATGGAATCTCACAACTGAAGTCTTCTGGATCTGCACCCATGTCTTTGAGGGGCTGCATCTCAAGCAATTACTGTAAATCAAATGGAGTATCGGTCTGGTCTGGCCCATTAGGACAGATGCCTGGAACAGGTTACTCTTTAATGTATATGGTAATGTGTTTCCATACTCCTATTTATTACTGATACAGCCCATGGGATTTCCCAAGGAAAGAATCCAAATGGTCTACAAATAGTTATGAAATAATGACTAGGAACCAAGTGCAAACTATTTGTATGAGGAGCAGAATTAAAATTTCAAAAGAAGGGCCAACTGGTATTCCAGGAATCAGGAGAGTTAAAAACAACAATAACAACTCACCAAGGAAAAAGGCAGCTACAAATGCTGTTGTCAGGCTGCTGGCACACAACACAACCGCATGGTTCAGCTCCAAATATCCATTAGAGAGTGCGCCTAGAAGGATTGCTGCTACAGCTGCCAGAAGGCCTATCACAGTGGCCTGTACCTGTCAAGCAGAAACAATGAAGAACAGAACATCTCAAGAGCCTGTAGTGTGAGATCAGTTCAGAAGCATTTCTGCAGGTCTCTTTTCTAGATGGCAGGCATGAAGAGTGGGTGACTTCTTAATGTGTCGAGTCTCCCCAACAGCATCATCCAAGGATGATTAAGCTTTTCAAGCAGAGAAAAGCAGTATGTGTTTTTGTCCTTCACTTTATCTTTGCCAGTTACCCGTTTCATAGTACAAAGCTACTTTTCAGGCAGACTTATGAAAGTAAGTTCATGTGTGAAATAGCCAATCTGTAACACATGAAATGAATTTCACCCTTCACAGGCTTCTCTTGAACAGATAACTTAGGCAATTATTTTTAGTCAGCTGACAAATGTTTTCTTAAGCAACAAAAAGATTGAAACTTCATCCAAGAACTAAATGTCTGGAATGCAATAAAGAGTATTTGCGAAAAATTTGATTGGAACTTTAAACTCTTAAAATTCAGGTGATGCTGAACTGTAAGTTTTAACAATTCACTTTTGGGATACTGAGAGCTGTACTTCTACAATACTTGGTGGGAGAGCACATATTTCCCTTTCCATCTAATCAATTAAATCCTGTATTTAATGAAGTATTAGATATTCATATAAATCAAGAAATGTTTTTAGACACTGTCATTATTTTATACTTCATGACACTGTGTGTGTGAATTTTTGGTTAAATGGGCACTGATTTGAGAGAAATGAAACCTGAAAATCTAACTCTGGGTAATCAAAATGTTACTAAATTGCTAGATGAATTAAACTTAATTGTAGTTCTAAGTGACAGGAAGTAAGTTGAAAAGTGATAGGAATTATCAGTGTCTTAACTAATGAAGGGAACCTTCTGTGTACATCTTTCCAATGTCTTATAATACCTAACAAACTTGTGGCTGTAGGAATTGGGTGCTTCTAGACCATGGTGTCAAACTCAATCGCATCACATGAGATATCATGACGCATCGTGAGAGTTTTTTCCTTTGTGGATCCGGGATGGGTGTGGCCTGCGTGTGACGCATCCAGCCCATAGGCCACCAGTTTGACAGGCCTATCTCTAGACCGAGAGTTCCTACTGCCACAAATCAAAAAGTAATATGTAGTTTCTCCGCCTTTCCCTCTCATCCTAATTTCTATACAAAAAAAAAAATAGAAAAAAAGTAGTTGGAAACAATGTTATAAAAGCTGTGATGCCTGGACCTTTCCCCTCAACAGGTGAATAAATAATCACCTCATTAGAATAACAAACAAACATCAAGACTTTGTATAAGAAAAAAACAGGACTTCCATTTCTGAAATGACACAATTAATAAATAGTTGTAATAAATGAGTATCAGCTCAATTATGCAGGGGTTCTAATTGACTAGTATTATCCAAAAGTCTCCGTAAAAAATGTAGACTTGCTTACCTGAATCAAGGCCATATTGCAAATAGCCATTTTCCATTTTTCCTGTGTATTATCCATCCGGCCGGTATTAGCCTGGAATGCACAGGAGACAACATTTATTTCTTATGCAGGGAAGAGCACCTGCTGCAATAAGTTTGTCCCTATGCTTTGGCAGGATTGTGCCAGGGCACAACTATCAATCTCATTCATTTTCATCTTTATGAAAAACCACTAGAGATACGCCTGCAGCAAATGGATTTATTTTTTCCTTCCAACTGGCAATGTGACCAGTTTAAAAATAGATTTACAAGGGCCGTAGCCCAGTTTGGAGTACATTTGGGTGCATAAAATCAGGAGGCACAACTGCAAAGTGTCTGAACTTCATACTCATCTCCAAGGTCTGCACCTTTGGATTTTATTGCACCAGCTCTTAGAAGGAGTAACCTGATGCTCGTACTAAGCTACAACAACATTCTACCCAAATCTAAAAATGTTTCAAATCTCTGAAAAAAAGGGAAGAACATTTGAAGGGTTTGGGAATTCTGAACACAATAAAGCCATTTGTTTAGGTGAATAAGCCAGGCTGACAGTACACTAGGCTGGCCCCGACCTTGCTGGCCTTCCAGAAGGGCTCAAATAACTGGCTTTGATATTTGGCCTAAGGATCAGAGATAAGTATGGAGACCTTAAAATGGCTGGACTGTCCTTGAATTGCTGTGCTCTCTCGGGGAATGTACTCTATACCTTTAATGGTTTAATTGTTTTTAATGCTTGTATGGTTGTTTTATTTTTATTTTTAATTTTTTTGGTACTGAGATGGGCAACTATGTAAATTGAATGAATGAATAAATAAGGGAATTATAGTCAGACAAAATATGCAAGCCTCCTAAATGCTTCTAGCAACTGATCTACTAGCAAAAGGAATATTTTTAACTCTTCGGGTCAACCTAAATGATTGGTTAATAAGCGCGTCATTAATTCAAGATGCCAGGCTTAATTCAGAGGCATGCATATGCAATACTAGCTCAACTGTCCTAAGCCAACACAGTACAGGTTATCTCGGGATAGGTTATCTTGGGATATTGTCCTCTTGGTTGGTAGCTTTTAACCTGATTCAAGTTAATTTTAATGTCCTTATCGTTATGATTTTACTGTACTGTAAACCATCTTGAGTGAGGGTAATGGATAGCGAGATGGGTGGCATATAAATTAATTAAACAAACAAACAAACAAACAAGCCCCTCTCTTTTCATAATCATGGATGGCAAATAGTACATCTAGCATGTTGTTACATTACGCAGGGCAGATAAAAACTTTATTACCAAGATCTCATTAATAATAGTGAGGAACTTTACCCCTGTCTTTCTGTAGATCTGGGCTGGAGGGCTTATGGCTTCATCTCTAAAATGGCTCCTTCCAACCTTAGCTTAAATATATTATTGGATACCTAAAATATAATTCTTTCCAAATATGTGGTACAGTGGGGAAACCATAAACCCACTTGTAACAGAAATGTTGTTTGTGACCACCATGGAAAGTAAAATATACAGGTCCAACCTATATAGGTACGATAAGAACTACTGAGCCATCTATGCATTTTTCACTACTGGATAGGTCCATGATGGTGAACTTGTGGCACGCATGCCACAGGTGGCATGCGTAGCCATATCAGTAGGCATGTGAGCTCAGCGGAAGTTGTCAAATGGGCCATTTCTGGCCTCCAGAGGACCTCCGGGGTGTGTGTGGGGAAGGCCATTTTCACCCTCCCCAGACTCCTAGAGAGACCCTGAAGCCAGGTGAGAAAGAAAAACGGGCCTAACGGGCCATTGCGTGCCGGGAGCGGGGGTGTGTGTCATGCATACATGCATGGGGGTGGGGCGCATAGAATTATGGGTTTGGGCACGTGCGCGACCCCCCCGCCCCCCCTCCTGGCACGTAATGGCAAAATGGTTAGCCATCACTGGGATAGGTGATAACATGTCAATACTTTTCTTGCCAAACAAGAACTCTAAATCCTTTTCTGTATATTAAAAGACAACATAAAGAGGATACTTACAGCTGTAGAAAGTCTAGATGCCAAGGTCATTTCAAGGTTGCCTTTCAAACCAATCAGGGCTGGAATCAGAATAAACATTTCTCTGATTTTAATGAATACTTTCCAGTGCTGAAAGGGAGAGAAGAAAGCATTAATCTATTGTGATATTAGTTGTAATATGCACATTCATACAAGCTTTTAACTACTGTACTACATAGATTTCCCAGAAGCTTTAAATTGTATGCTGTTTTTCAGTGTGGATAGATCCTCTATCAATATAACTTTGAAAGTGGCTGCTAAATACCTAAGCAACAATTAATAAAGAAAACTGAAATAAATCAGCATTCTTGTCACAGTCCTATAAAAATTGATCACAAAACTAAAGGCAAACTATTTTTATTGGACCAAACATACATCATGGAAACTAATTAGATAGTTCCAATTATATCATTCAACCTTTCTTTGCACTCACAAATTATTTGAAACAATTTCAAAAGCATGAAAACAATAAGCCAGTTCTTTAATTTTATGATCTACATGGTGGCCAATCCTGCACAACAAAGTTATTTTAGATTGAAGAACATAAAGTTCAAGAGTGTGTTGCTTATGATTATAAATGACTTGAAAGTAAAGAGGAAAAACATAGTAGAAAGTGCAGTTTGTGGTGATAAGACATTTGTGTAAGTCTTTTTCCATTCCTTATATGTAAGGCATTGATGGACTGTTTCCTTTTCTGTTTTACGCCTCTAAACCAGAGACACCATTCAAGCGGCAGAGAATTTCTACAGGATTACAATTATTACAGTATTTCAAAAAACAAACACAATAAACATATTATTGACTACGTTGCCTATACATTTTGAATTACAAATAAACCTGAAATCACAGAACTGCCACTTCACTTTTCAACCTGTTTTGCTTATTATTAATGAAGCAGGGAAAAAATGTTTCTAATAATAATATAATGGGCACAGTCCAATCCACTGATATCAGTGAGGCTTCTCCCTAACTACATATTTAGGCATAGAGTGTTCTGTGACTGCGTAATCATTCATTGGCTGAGTTCACACATGATGCTAAAAACTAGTATAGTTTAACAAAACACAGCATAGCTTAGCAAAACACAAGATCCTTAAGTCTGGTCAAATAAATCATATTTTGTTTTAACATGTTGACTTGATTCACACAACATGCTAAGACAGAAACTATCCAATTGTGATTTAACTGAGTCTAATGTTTTGCACACAAATCCTGCACTCTTTTGTATGAGTATATGCACACTTGGAGGATTGTTATAAGACTCAAAGGCCCTATGAAACAAAGTAAGCATAAACAAGCATTCTATTTATTTAGAGAACTTGATATATGAAGAAAATTATTTGGGCCAGTAACAGCCATTCAGCTGTAGATTAGGAAGTTCCAAAGCACAGATCCACTAACCCACTGCACTAGCATACAGGTAGACCTAAGACTTACAGCCATTTATTAAATGACTGTTCTAAGTTACAATGGCACTGAAAAAAAGTGACTTAGGACCGTTGTTCCCACTTATAACCATTGCAGCATCCCCACGGTTACATGATCAATATTCTGATTGGTAACTGGTTCATTCGTGTCCCAAGGTCATTTGTGAGCTTCTGACAAGCAAAGTCAATGGAGAAGCAATATTCACTTAACAACTGTGTTACTAATTTAACAAGTGCACTGAATCACTTAACAACTGTGGCAAGGAAGGTTGTAAAATGGGGCAAAGCTCACTTAACAAATGTCTCACTTAGTAACATAAATTTTGGGCTCAATTGTGGTCGTAAATTGAGGACTACCTGTGGTAGATTACAATCCATAAACTAAACTTCAGTGAGGCGGGTTTCAACCTGCAGTGGACTGATTCAGGCTGATAATAAATTCACACACACACACACACAAATAAACCACACACACACATACACACTCCTTTCAAATAACCCCAAGAAGACAAGAAAATAATATTTTTAGGAATGACAGAAAGCTCTAGTTTTCAGGATGTCAGTTGAAAACAAAACAAAACAAAAATTTAAAGGAAAAGAGTAGATAGAATTGGCCAAAGAACTTAAGAGTACCCTACAAGGAAGAATTTAATGAGGACTAGGAGTTGCTGTAACTCAACTTTTCCACAATAATCTCTGCCGGGATTTTCCACCTAGTTTCTAGGCAACATGAGCAGCTTCCTTGTCACAAAAATCCACCCAATGCTGGGAACACAATATTCATGAAACTTCATTTAATATTTCCCAGGCATTTGCATTTTTCGTAACATATTCTGGCTTTGGCTGATGAGAACATTTTTGGATCAGTTCAATCCTAGACTTCCCCAGGACACTTAAAAAGAACAACAGGTGGGCAATGAATAAGAACCTTTCATTCAACTCAGTCTGTCCACAAGACTCTCTGAAGAGCCCTGACATTCTCACAGAAGACATCTCCCCACCCCCGGCAGGTAGGACAAATACTGCACCTAGCTCTCACTTAGCCATATTAAAAATAGATGCTCACTGTCAGCCTACCCCTCATTACCAAGGAAGTTGAAAGAACATACATACTTGAAGAATATCCATCACCAAACCAGCAGCTACCAGGCCTAAACCTGCCAGTATATATGGCCCGAAGATCTGTGATGCAATGGAGAAGCATGTTTCTGGAAGGAATCCACTGGGTGATCTGAAAAACTTACAGGTAAAACCTCTGAGTTTCTTCCCCCGGAAGCACAGCTTCAATTTCAGCTCAGTGACCACCATTACTGAATGCCATTAAGCCATACTAAAGAAGCAGAGGACAAAAGGAAATCCAGAAGTTGGAGTCGTCTTCAATCTTCAGTCGGAGTTTCAAAGCACCTTTAGATTCCAGTTGCCCCACCACGTGTTTCGAAATCTGATGTCCTTTTTTTTCTTCCGCAGGAGAACAAGGTTAGTTTCCAAAATGCATTCAGATTAGCTGAGCTTGGTTTTTCACTGTGCTTTGAGTCAGTTTCCAGCTATCACGACCTGGCTGAAAACCAGAAAGGCTGGCTGAAGCTGGGACACTGAAGAGTTACCAGCATAAACAGTGGTAGGTTGTGCTGGAATTGCTTAAAATACTTCAGTCACTTATGTCCTTTCTCCTCCACTTACAAAGACAGTAATTGAAAAGATAAGCTTGCATGGCCGAAATAGTCACAGCGCCATCAAGCTCACCCTGTGTGACACTGAATCTTTCTTACTGTTCTAAGGCAAAGAAGAAAGTTTACTTCAGTTTACCTTTTCCTTTTTTTTTGCTTCCTCAAGGTGAAGAAAGGTCATGAGGAACAGGAGCTTACTCCTAACTACAAATACAAAGATTACAGAAGAGCTCAGAGGGAAAAGGAAGAAAATCTATGAGGCTGTACTACCTAAAAGGCACTATCATCATCCTTCTTTTTTTCTTCTTCTGATTTCCTAGCTCTGCTTTGGATACACAAGTTTAGAAAATAGGTAGCCTCTCTCAATGACTGACTTCAGAACTCCTGAATGAACACCAATGAGGTTCAAAAGCCAGCACCCTTATCTGCTGTCATCACTTCAAATTCAGATACAAAAGCCCCGATAACAGTCTCTGCAGAACTTATTTACGGTCATTCTATTCTCTTCCAGTATTTTTCCTGTTGCATTTTATTTCCTGTCCTAAAAAATCTGCCATGGGCTATTCTGCACTTTATTTTTAAAAAAGAGAAAACAGTACAATCCACGATAGATTAATACTAACCATTCAGCACACAAGCATTAAAAAAAAAAGGCTAGTGCAACTCTTTCAGCTTTGTCTCTTCACAAAACTTGTCATTTACTCAGTTGTGTAAAAATTTACATTTGGGATTTTCCTCCTTTGATCAATTCTCTAAAAAGAAGGAAGAAGGCTATCATAGACCATACAATAATTCTTTGGATGCTCTTTGCTTGCTCGAGGCCAGTAAGTAAATCTTCTTCGCAGCCCTATATTTTCATGAAAAGGATACAGCAATAAATGACAAAATCCAAATGCTTGGTTAATTAAAATAAACCAGGAATTTCCAGAATTAGAGAATCATTTTTTTCCTTTAAATGATGTTTCACATCTGGTGGAATCCGGATAAGCAGAAGTTTCAAAGGATAAAACTTACTCTCTGTCTCTTTGTCTATCTTTTCCCATGTGAACTTTCTCCAAATGCCTTAGATTGAATAACATACATCCTCATAACTTGGTGAGGCAATTTAAACTGGAAGTTCATGATGAATGTAGTCATTCTGGGTGCTGCAGAACTGAAAAGGATTTAAACCCAGTCTTTGGAGTCAGTCTTTAACCCCACCCCAACATTGTCTGCACCACACCAATCAATCAATTCGATAGTAGTCTGGTTACTACAAATAAAACCAGCAATCTTCCTGACGCATGCTAGTAGGTCTAAAAAAAGCTTTCTCTGATAACATATTGAGGTTAATCCAAGAACTCTGTTTGCTTAGCTGCTTTCTTTCCCACACTAAGGAGGTACAGAGGAAGTTGAAGAAAGCTGGGTTTATATTTTGTAAGTCCTGTAACCAGCATTAATTGAGGAAGAAGCTTGGAAAGTCACCTTCAGACATTAGCTTTCTACACAGGTACAGAAAATAAAACAATCATCATCTTTTTGTTCCTTTAGATAGCCAGAAAACCCAACATATGAATAGGGGCACAATGGACGGTCAGCTCAGGAGGAGAACTGGCAGTTGGAGCCCAGGATTCTTTCGGGGAAGGGAGGGGGGAGAGGACAATGAGCTTCATTCCTTTATGAGCCAGAGAGTATAAGGAGGAAGAATGGACTTGAAGGACAGGAGGAAGTGCCCCTGTTTTAAAGAAGATGTTGGATAACCATTTGTCTAAAGTGGTGTAGGACTTCCTGCCTAAGCAGGAGGTTGGACTAGAAGACCTCCAAGGTCCCTTCCAACTCTGTTATTCTATTCTACCAAGATAATGGTCAGCTAAGAGGGTCTTGAGTTAAGGCCAAGAAACTAATTTGAGAAAATGTTTCAGAGAAAGCCCTTGTCGAGTTCACATGAAGATAAAGTGGTGGGGGAGAGTACATTGACACTTGCAATATTTTGTTACTATAGCTCTTGTAATTAAAAGGGCTCCTGTTGGGAAACTCCCAGCCAGACAGGGAGGAGGAGTTAAGAAGGGAATTAGCCTTGAGTCCTTGTGCAGCCACAAGGAGTCTAACCGAGACACTCCCTTAAGTTCCATGAAATCTTATTGGTTGTTATTGTGATTTATTGTGAACACAATAAAGTTGCTGGCTTGGACTTTTCATAAGTGTTCTGGTTGTTGCACCTGAGACATCCTGAGCTATCTGCCATTGGTTTCTTAGTCTGGTCCACATTGAATGGCTGACACAATGGATGGAAACTTGTTATGTTGTTTCTCATGCTGCATTGCTTTTCTTGAAGGGGAGGGTTAGAATAACCCTTTGAAGAAGAGAAAGAGCTGCAATCAAGGCAATGGTCAGATAAAAGAGCCCAAAGCAGGAATGTAATTGGAGAAACCATCTTAGACTCGACCCTCCCTAGTTCTCTAATCTAAACATAGAGGAGACATATTCAGAGTTGCAAGGTTTTGTTGCTGCAATTTTAGTATTTGGTGTTTGAGTCTAGTTTACCTTGAAGGGCTGACACAATGGATGGAGCAGGGCTGCTCTTCCCAGGCTGCATCACTTTCCTTGGGGACAAGAGACGGTACTCTTCTACTTTTGATTAGTGGTTGAACTCATAGAGTGCTTGCCTTCAGCTGCACATTTAAATGGAAGACATTTTGTAGGAATTGTTCCAAAATACCATGATTATAGCTAGAATTCCCAATTTCTATCCCTCATGCCTCTTATTAGCAATAGCACTTAGACTTATATACTGCTTTACAGTGCTTTACAGCCCTCTCTAAGCAATTTACAGAATCAGCATATTGCCTCCAACAATCTGGGTCCTCATTTTACCCACCTCGGAAGGATGGAAAGCTGAGTCAACCTTGAGCCTCGTGAGATTCGATCTGCCAAATTGCAGGCAGCCGGCAGGCAGCAGAAGTAGCCTGCAGTACTGCACTCTAACCACTGCGCCACCGTGGCTCATTATTATTAACCAAATGTAAACCATTTACATCCTGATCACTGTAGCTGTGCCAATGAATTTTGTAGTGCTCAAGCATGAAGCAGTCTGGTTGCTTTGCTCTCTGCTATTTTTCTTCATCAGAGAGACTGAGCCATATGCAGTTGTTAAAGCTGGATGTTAAAAAAGGAAGCAGCATCAGCTTTTATGAACATCCAGATCTTGGGTGAATGGATTTATTGTTCTTTACTATACTATATTCCAAACACTATGTAAGCATCACTACAGCGAGACAGTCCTCGCTTAGCGATCCTGACTAGAACTGGCATATCTGCTTCTAAGTGAAGTGGTCACTAAGTGGGAAATCATGCAGCCGTATCTGTGCTTTTCAGCTGGAAAGAGACAAGACTATTGTTCTTAGTTTCACATTTTAGGCTTTTGTTTGCCTCCTAACCACCATCACCTGCTCTTTGGAATGCTTGAGCGCCTGCTTTTATCTGTCTGATTTTTCTCAATTGCATCAAAAGCAATGCAATTGTACGGGCAAGCCTAGGATTAGAAGATCTGGATGTGTGCTCTAATGGCTTATTATTTTGAAATCCCTTCTCCTCCAATCTCTCCACTCTGCAAGGAGGAGGAGGAGGAGAAACAAAACAAGCTATTGCTGTAGGCAATCTCTGCTATGCCTGATCCTTTCTGCTAGTGGAATGATCACATTGCTTTTAATGTGTAGAAGATCAAACAGCTTATTCTCTTGAAATCTCTCTCCAATCTCTCTGCTGGGGGGAAAAGGAAAGGGCTAGGCCTCCCCACCCCCTGCCCCACAGAGTAGAGAGACTAGGAAGGAAGACATTTCAAGAGAGTACCGTAAAACGTTTGGCTCCCAACCCCAGGCTGCTGGTTTAATTGCATTGCTTTTGATGTGTAGAAGAGCAAATAGCTTGGACTTATTTTACAATCCCTTTCTCTCCAATCTCTCTGTTTTGCAAGGGGGGGGGGGAAGAAAAAAAATCCATAGATCTGGCATAGGACAACACATACTGCCTGCAGTGATGATCTCCTGACTGAGGGACATTGCAAAGGTTATAAATGAGTCATAAAATTACTTTTTCAGTACCATTGTAATTTCAAATGGTTGCTGAATGAATGGTTGGTAAATGAGGATTACCTGTAAAGCCTTTATGTTTTAGCAATCAGCATTCAGATAGCAGCCGTTAATGGCTATTCATTTTGTGTCATCACCATCATCACTACCATCCCAAGAGAGCCATCCATCTGAAATGCTTTTAGAAGGGTTTAGACTAAATGATCTCTGTGTTTCTTCCAATTGTCTGATCATCACTATCATGAAATAAGGTATCCTGAATAAAAAGCTCTCTGTTACCAAAGAAATAGTAACATTATTTATTAATACTGAGGACCCAGTTTGTGGGGGCAATAAGCTGACTTTGTAAAGTATACAAAAGTATGAAGGCTATTGCTTAACGCATTGTAAGCCGCCCTGAGTCTCCGGAGAAGGGCGGCATATAAATCAAATTAAAAAAAAAACCCACTAGAATAGGAGTTTTATTTTCACTCTAACAACGCTGAACAGTGCCCAATACCGATAGAGAGGGAACTAGCAATTTGGTATAGTGGTTAAGGTGCTGGCTTAGAAATAGGAGACTATGAGTTCTAATCCAGCCATAGGCATGAAAGCCAGCTAGGTGACTTTGGGCCAGTCACTCTCAGCCCAGCCCACTTCACAGGGTTATTTTGTGGGGAGAATAGGAAAAGGGAGTATTATGTATATTCACCCCCTTGAGTTACTTATAGAATAATAAAAGTGGGATAAAAATCAAATACATACATACATACATACATACATACATACATACATACATACATACATACATACTGTATACACGTCTATCACAATATTCTCTTTTAAGCAATTTTTTGCGCCCCTCCTGGCATGTGAAGTGACATGTGGGTGGGTTCTGGTGTTAATGCCCTGTGGGAGAGGTTGATGCCACAGGCATTTGAAGTGTTTGTGGTCTGCCCTCTTCTTAAGGAGCCATCATTAGACTCCACCCTATTGGATAATTTTCATCCTGTTTTTTTTCTTTTAACTTAAACCCTTAATTCAGGGTATAGTCGGGACCACTGGGTGAATGTTTACTGGCCAGATGCCCTGCCTGACACCTACATGGATTTCAAAGCAGATATTTTCTCTTTGCGCTCTGAGAGAGAAACAACCGCCTCTACCTAGGACTGAACTAGAAATATATGCCATAGAAAATTGCTGCTTCAGACATTTATCCATTCAAGACAAAGGAATATTTTCCAATTTAAAACTGTTGGGTAACCCACATACTTCTGTCTTAAACTTTTGTTTGGAAACCAACCACAGCCCTATTGATTATTTAATGATGCATTTTCAGTGTTTTTCTTTTTTCTTTTTTTGTTTCATTAATAGCTCAGCATCTTGAGAACAGTCTTTCCTCTACTTTCACATTTAGGCCAACTCATGAGGTGACTTTTTATATGGTACCTTTATGACATTACTTGCCATATCTTCTCCAGCCCTCAAGCAAAACGAGAAGGGTGAATTCAGGCCCATAAAGGTTACCGATCTCTGCTCTAAGTGAAATCTGATTACTTACTTAGATGCCTATGCTCTTTAGGCAGAACATTCTTTAAGGCTAAGTCTTCTCTTCCTATACTCTATAGAATGCCATGCACCATGATGGTACTATGTAAATAAATGGTAATATCGCCAGCTTGATAAAGTGGAAAAACCAATTGGGAAATAAACTGGTTTTGCCAACAAAATCAATACACTTCTGGAACATCAAACATAACCCTCCTCTAGGTACGGTAATTGGCTAAATCATTTTAACTTGGGATACTACTAAAATCTATTGCAGGTGAGAACCTCCAAGTGTGAAGAGAACAAAATGCACACAGAATCCCACACTAGCCTCCACGTATTCAGGAGGGAACTAAACTCACATTAGCTCAGCTCCGTATAAAACATTCTGAAATAGGTAAAAATCTTATGAAACCCAATTGATTTTCCTTCATGCTAAATAGTAACATGAAATTAATGCAAGCAAGAAATATGAACTCTGGACCAGAGAAAACAGGCAGAAGGCATTTTAATGTCATCCTATCAGAAAGACAAGGGGCAACATGACCTCTTACTTCACTAGCTAAATAAATTAGATAGCTCAAGCAAGGATTTCAGTGCTGAAAAAGTAACCTATTAGAACGAACTTAATCAAATTGCTTGTTTGAATTTAAAAACAAGAGCCTGCTTTTATTTATTTCATACAGTTTATCTACATTTCATTCCAGTGAGGCTCCATGTGGTGTACAACAGTAAAAAATAAGCATAACAGTGCATGGTTAATAAAATAACAATATTTAAATAAAGTTTACTTGTCTCTCAATTCATGCTGAGTTCCTTCAATTAAATATTTAAAGCGGTATTTGTTGCAGCAAGATTAACCTCTCTGATGATTTGTTTTAAAAATATGCTTGTTTCAGGAGCTTGCGGTTTCATCTTAAAGTTATTGCACAGAAGACAGTTTGCAATATAAGGTTTTAAAAATACATATAAAACCAAAGAAATCAATGGGAATTAGCAAAGAAAAATATGGAAAAACATAGGATCAGCATTAAAAAAAAAACCTA